ATGACAAAAAAATAATGACGATGAAATTGGAATGTCGAATGCTAATTTGATGATAATATTTAAATGACATCATTATAAAAGACTACACGTTTTTGCCACTAAGGTGGCAAAGATGCATTCCGCGTGAATAAAAAGAACGAAAGTTCACGCGCGTTGTGTATTAGGTAATCACTATGTATTGGCGGCTTCTTGGTAACTGTTTATCCTCGTTTTTACTGTATTTATAAAAGGAATGCTATCCTTTTCATTGATTTTAATTAAATTATCTACAAATATTGACATAAATGACGTTAATAACGTACAAAATGCAATAAAACCAGAAAACTCTACGCAACAGCGAAGTATTTAATAAAAGTCGGGTGTGAAAGTCGACGCCATGAAACAAAAAAAAAAGAAAAATAATAATGCCTATACAAAGGCTTGTTGTGCTAAGAACAAAGGGGGCACTTTCATTGGCACTATAGTGGCTCTGGCACCGAGAACAGAAACTTCCTTTGAATAGTTTTCACGGCATAAATACCTGTGCGAGTACTGTTGAGTCGAATTGTTGAGGAGGCCTTACCTACCCTTTATAAACATCTTAACTAAAGTTATATTATAAATGTGAATTTGTTTGCTACGCTTTCACTTCTTAATTACTCAATTGAAAATCGTAATTTTTTTAATACAAGTTGTCAAGATACAGAAAATTACATAGATTTTCATAAATATGTTAAAGAAGTATATGATAAATGATTCCTTTCATTCCAAGAAAGTACTGTATGTGAAGGATAGAAATATAATTTTTGGTAAAAACCACCATAATCATAGAAATTGCAAGAATAATTATTACGATTTTCTATGGTTAAAACCCACTCAATAAATAAAGAGTATTAAAATAAAAGACAAAGGCAGTTGAAGAAAAACAAACACATTGAAAATATTTATGCAATTTTTAATTTACCTATGGTTAGGGATTAATATGAAACGGATTAGGGATCCGGGAACTGCTGTTAAGACATCCGGACCATTTCTCTATCACCTCGCCGATGGCCGTTATGGCGGGTGGAGGGGAAAGCCTAGCCTATGTCCTTCCTCACGAATCAATCTATCTCCATACTAAATTTCATTTGCGAAGCGTGGAGAGGTAACAGACAGACAGACACACTTTCGCATTTATAATATTAGTAATGATTAATATTTTATTGACGAGGCCCTTTTAAAAGAATTGAATGCTTCCCAAGGTCTACACTCATAAAAGCTCTAATGAAAAGCTTTCCATTATTCCAAATAAGAATGGGTGCATGTATAACTGAAGTAGGTAATAAACTTGTATCTGTGCATGCTTTGTTCGCTTCTGGCTCCAGGCAAATAAGGAATAATTTCTGTTTGAAGCTCAGACAGTCGTAATTGGGTTTGTTTTCCTAAAGAATCCTTAAAACGTCATCGTATATATACCACATTTGGCCTTAACTTTTTCAATTCTGCTTAAATAATAAAAATGTCATTCGGTGAAGTCAGTTTACAGAATAGGGAAACTTTATTGTTACAAATAATTATCTAAGGGCGATGCAGATGAAGGCCAGTTTCTGTTTATACTATACTCGTTCATCGCTTCTAAGTAATTACTACATGTAATTGATAAAAAAGCCAGGTGACTTATTTATAATAGTAGGTACTTATGTCTAAAAAGTTTTACCGGTTTACTATATATACTATAACTTATGATTTCTTTCGTTTTTTTTTAAAGAAGACTGCACTAGGAATATTTCATACGTGAAACAGACACTAAGAACACCCAGACTCAGAACAACAATTTGTAGATCACAAAAAGCGTTGTCGAACCCACAACACTGCGCGGTAGGAAGCGGCGGAGTGACCGCTTAAACCACAACGTCATCCGTGCAGTCATATTAGCATGACGAATGATGTCCTATGTATAGCAGAACCGTTTCTAATATTTAGTTTACAGCGAATTTTGTTGCTCGCAGTCTCGTGTATACACACACATGTCACAGGAAAGTACCCTATGAAAAAAATCTTCACCTTTTATTAAGTCGTATGATATTTACTGATATAATAGTGAGTCACTCAAATATATCCTACATTTGACGACCTTTTAGGAAGGAGTACGCTCTTTTCTTGAAGGTAAAAATAGTCAAAAGACTTTAATAATAATAAATAAATTATATTTTATTTGACGACCGAATGGCGTAGTGGTTTGTGTAACGGACTGCTATTCCAAAGGTCGCGGGTTCGATTCCCGCTCAAGTCAAGCATTTGTATGCATGAACATTTAATGTTTGATTTGGTCTGGGTGTTTCTATGTATAATATGTATGTATTTACAAAAAAAAGTATATATGTATTTATATCAGTTGTCTAGTACCCATTGTGAATGTGGTAGAATATTATTATTATTTATATACAACACATTTCATCTATTCATACGTTGCTTATTAATATATTGCTTTTACTGATAAATTTCATTGTATACGTTACTGCTTTACAAAATAGCCTTCAATATACTAATATTTTACACAACACATGTAACAAAACAATTAATAATTATAAAAAAACCGGTGTTTTATAGGGCTTCTTTCTGCTCAGCTGCACTCAAAAGACTTCAAAATGTTCTTTTTTTTACGGGTCGGACGGGTCACCTGATGGAAAGTGACCATCGCCGCCCATGAACGTCTGCAACTCAGGAGTCACAAACGCGTTGCCGGCCTTTTAGGAAGGAGTACGCTCTTTTCTTGAAGGCTCTCTTCTTTAATAAATTATATTTTATTTTAATTAAAATTATTTTACTTTATTAAGATACGATATGAATATTGTAATGACCTTTAATGTAAATTTTAAATTCACAAAAAGTCATCAAAGAGCTGTCAACGAACGTAAAAATAATTATTTACTAAAAACGATTTTCTAAAGACTTCGCATCGTCGACGGCTATTGTTGATGTGTCAGGATTGAAGATCTGAGACGAAGATCTAATTATTATTTTGTAGTGCTTCTTTCCATTAGTGGACTTGAGCATTAGTTCCAATAGGTGCTGTCTAAGGGCATTTGCCCTTTCTTTAATAACATTTGGATTTGCGTTTGTTTAGACATTCGCTCGATTTCTCTCAAATCACGTCATCACGTCACATCATTATTCTGAACTACGGGACTAATACTAAAATTTACCATATAAACCAAATTTTCTACATCATAAAATCAAAACTGATAACTACCTCTTTTTTTGTTATCAGTTTTAAAAGGAACATCAAAAAATATTCATTTCTTTGTGAAGTGAGAACTGCGCCTAGCGCCTACATTTTTTGTTTATTTTTACCGGCAGTGCATCTAAAAAAATAAAAACCGTAACTCGTGCATTGCATCGATACCTTTTTTATTGTAAGCAATACATCCGTTTGTTAAATTGTCTGATAGTTCTCATGAAATTATGTGTGAGACTACCTATATTCTCATACGATTTTATTTATTTATTTATACATCATGCATTTTTGGTGCATTGGCAGACTTAATGTGACGATTTTCGAGTTTCTTTCTTATTAATGTTTACTTATAAATACATGTTAAAAGTAAATGTTTTGGCAATAATTGGGTATGGATGTTTTTGTTTCTTAAAATAAATATAATGTGATAAATATGTATCATCATCATCATCGTCAACAGTCCTTAATAGGTCCACTGCTGGACAAAGCCCTGTTCTTAGAAAGGAGGTTTTGGCCTACTATACCACGCTGACCAGACGGGTTGGTATAGAGTTTGTCTAAAGTCTTCCTTCTCTATGCAGTGCTGTTGTCCTGCGTACTTTGCTCCCTTAGTTGGGTCTTACGACACACATGGGATGAATGGGGGTGGTGACACGCCGTATGCTTAACCTGTCACTGTCTGTATAAATGTATAATAAATATCTATATATTTATACTATATATGTATGTTATATATATATGTATAATATATATAAATATGTATGTTCCTGTCATAAAAAAAGCAGAAGTACAACTATAAAAGCAATAGTACAAATAATAAGTAAAACCGTATAAGATTTTCAAGACATATGTCAAAAGGTGCGATGAAATTTTTTGAATGAAATGAATGAAAGGTGAGTGAATATCTCCAGACGTTTTGGGGTCAAGTGACATATTGATTGGAGTTAATTGATCACTCCGTCAGTTGGAAATAATTTACTTTATAAAGTATCTGAATTTGTGTAGAAACGAACGATGAAATCATCATCATCATTAATTAAAAACAGTTACTGTTAATTGAAAACTGTTATCCAATTTTATTTTATTTATTTTTGTAGTTTTCTTCATTGTTTAAAAAAATATTTGTCTATACTTATTATCATTAAGTTTCAGTTTTAGTCAACAAAACATTTGAAGTTTCCTTCAAAGTTTGTACCTAAAGGAAATATCGTTATTCTATTTCATGCAGTGACACCCAACGTTTCTGAATCATTAGAAGCTTTACTTTAGAGCCATTTTAAAGCGTAGGTATAGCCTCTCTACATTTACTGTTTACTGTTCGCATAGCTACATAACACATTTGTTTATATAGTTAGCTAATGATATTGCACATATAATCATTGACATCAATAAATACACTTAGCCATGGCCTTAAGTCTGTGTACCTAAATAGTTTAGATTGCGGTTAGGATTAATTACAATGATTAAAAACAGCTGTCAGAAGTTCACTTGACTCTTTCATCTATCCTACTCGCTCATTAAATGTGAGTAGGAAAGAGACAACAGTTATTACACAACTCGGTTACTTGTTTTTAACAGAATACTTTTTGCTATCTCAAAAGAAATTGATCTTGACAATAGCTTAGGTCCCATGAGCAATATAGGGCCATGGGAAACGCCAGACAATGTGTTTTCCCGTAAACATAAGGTATAGGCACTGGAGGCTACTCAGTCGGTTGATATTGAGTAAACAGGTGACAACGCGTGCACACAAGAACTACAAAAAGTTTGGCGGGAAATTGAAGGTGTCATGGCGAAAACGATGATATTGAATATTTTGTGGTAATTTTGTTTAATTTATGCATGCATGTTTACGCTTTAACTTACTTATAGATATTAATAATAAAAAAATCAGATCCATTTGTTTATTTACTTGTTTTAGAGTTTAAGGCAATGAAATACTATAAGTAGCAGAATTTGCACGTATGAATCTAAAGTTCGTGCAAATGAATTATTTCTCAAGTTAAGTAAGTACTTAAAATTTACTTGAGAAATAACTCATTAGGTACAATGGTGTTTGACTTTATGATGCTTTAATTTAGTTCACAAGAAAAAACTCAGATTTTGGTATAAAATGTGAATCTAGATTGTAAGAAATATTTAGAAATTGTGAAGGATAGTCCAAATCAAAGTAATTTGCCAATATTGTCTTGGTTTTAAGTCGTTTACAAAATTATCCAAGTACCAATATGTGTAAATACTTATATACAGAGGTGTCGGTAACGGTAACAGCCTATCTCAAAAAATGTGTTATTTGTTAAACCATAAAATACAAAATTTTGTTTGTTGTTCAAAAATGACCAACGCGCCTAAAGAAGTTTCATTTCGAAATATTTTTATTACATTTGAATTACGCGCGCAGACGTTAATTTCTAATTCATTGACATTTTCTATTTGTCGTTGGATCGGCAACGCGACAAAGAGGTTAAAGGTTAACTAACAAAGCGAAGTAATGTTCATAATGGTGATATTGTCATGGATATAGATAGATTAAAAACTATGTTTCATCAATGGTATTGTGACGGTCATGGACAGAAATGAGTATTGTTCGTGTATTTTGTACGTACAGAGATTGAGATACGGTTTTAAATGACAAGGTTGACAAGGTTACATGTAATCAAGGCCAACTTCTCAATGGACTGGTTACGAAATGTTAAACTTATTATAGTAACGTATAGTTACATATGATATGATGTGAACCACTTTTAGTTTGGTTACTAAGTACGCCAGTCAGTGTTCTTCGTCTTTCTGCGTAAACGTCCTTCTGTGTCGCGGTTATAATAAATATTAAACCAATATAATTACTTTTCATATAGTAGTAATAGACATTTCTGTGTACTCTTTCAGTGACCCTGGTGTCAGTTTTAAATCAATGTGTATTGTGGGCACACAAAGACCCATCTCTTTTGCTACTATGTGTGTTGATCTATGTCTTGAGTCTTCATAAGAGACAATTTCAAACAATTTTAAAAAAGAGTTTTAAAGATTAAATATATTTTGAGTTTGAGTTTGCAAGTCTTAAATATTAAGAAATATAAGTTAAATATAAAAGCCATACTAACAATTTGTAACTAGTTTGAGAGAGATTTCTTAGCTTCGTCAATTATTATCAACAGCCTCTAACAGTCCACTGCTGGACATAGGCCTCTCCGTAGGAAGGAGGTTTTGACCTACTATACCACGCGGGCCAGACGTGTTGGTATAGGGTTTTTGTTTCCTTCTCTTTGCAGTGTTGTTTTCCTGCGTAGTTTGCTCCCTTAGGTGAATAGCGGAGGTGACACTCCGTATTCTGAATCCGTCACTACACGGCTTAGCTTATCAAACCCTTATTATTGTGTTCTATTTTTAACTCAAATATTTTTATAAATCAACGAAAGATGTGAATAAGATTATCAGAAGAAGTCCAAAATTTATCGACTATTTAATCGGCCAGCTTCGTCTACCAACCTTAGTAAACAATGGGATCATATAAATACCTCCGTTCTGTTAACAAAGATCACTTGCTTTGAATCTTGGCGAAACTACTCAAGCGATACTCGACGTGTTTGAATCGAATTTCTTAAAGTTTCGGCTTAGCAAGGTGATCTTTAACATCGTGTGTCTCGAGTGTGGGTCAGTGACTATCGAACAGGGTCAAGTTACTCTGGCTTCCAAGACCACTACAGCATTCCCTAAAATTTAAGTTAAGTTTGAATTGAGAATTAACGATTTTTTCACAATTTGTAGAATCTCAACGTAATTGTTGTTTTTCTTTTATTATAAGGCTAATGCATTTTTACAGTTCCGTATGAACAAATAAAAAAATGGCGTGAGGGGTCTATGGACCGTCTGTCGGAACGATGCACTCTTTTCGGTCTCGCTCCCATCCGCTCAGAGCGATAACGCGCGATATGGAACTTCGTTCTAAAAATCCCCGTAAACCCATAGAGGATAACTCATGCATTTCTTTGTCTGTATGTCTTGATTAATTTGTTATGAATTAAATATTAGATATAAAAAGTAAAGGTGAAACTGAGTTTATTTTAGATAGCAGAAACACAACGCTATCTATGGAGTCTCAATAAATTAACCAAATCCATCTGGGGAATTCAAACAACATTTTGAAGACTATATGCACGTGTCCGTGCACGACATCATCCAGCCATCTTGCCTACTCTACGGGTGTTGCAAAGGAACAAACAATCTACTTGAAACGCCATAAAAAAAATCAGAATTGTCTATTTATAAAAACGCAGGAACTCATCTGAATAGTTATTTTTATTACTACACAACAATATTGATTGGCCAGATTTACTTTCAAAATTTAAATTCAACACTTCTCACAAATATCCCAGAAAGCCAATTATGCTTTTACATTCTCCTTTTCGAAAGTCAGTTTTAGGTATCAACTCGCCTGTTTCACGGCCAAGCACGAAATACAATCACTACCGTAAACAGATAGATATTTTGGCACAACATTTCAACGATTTAAGAGCCTAGCTCATAATCTTACTGTCGATTGGCCATGTACTTGGTTGCTGTTCTATTTGGAGATAGGTATTAAGCTAAAGATTTTGTAACATTTGTTTCCTCGTTTTTTTGACAACCTTTGTCAATAGGTAGTCATTTTCAAAACTATATTAAATGCATGTGGTGTTTACCTACATAAGTTGTGCACTTAGAGTAATGTTAATACTATGGTCTATTTTATAAGAATATTTTAGTGTAATAATTACTGGTAAACCAACAAACAAATAAACAATATGGAGGCAGGAAACCTGTCAATGATGATTTTTTAAAAGACAATTCCCGCACTAGGAATAAGTCCTGTGTCGCGGGAGACTTTACAAACATACATAAAACGGACACAAAGAACACCGAGACTCAGAACAACAATTTTTGGATCACACAAAGTATTGTCCCATGTGGGGATCGAACCCACAACACTCAGTACAGTAGGAAGCGGCAAGGTGACCACTTAAACCACTACTCCACCAGTGTACCATATCATTATTTTGAAGAAGTTTTTTTACTTTAGTTCTAAAAAGTGACATTCCGTCTATTGTTATGTTAAGGTAGAATCTTGAACAGTGTCAGACTATGCTTACGACTCTGAAAACAGATAGGGATACTACCAAGGCCGACACGTATGTACCTTCTGCAAATCATTAAGACATGACGCCTGTTGACTCATTGCTACGATGATGGGTTCGAAGGACCATGGCCGCCGAGTAGAGTCTCCGCAAAGAGCGCCAGAGAGCGCTCGACCACGACACCGCGGTATCATTATTTTGCTACGGTGTTATTTTGCAACTGCCATATCTTCTAAGATATTCATTGAAATCAAATATTGGGACAATTTTGTTCAGAATTAATAACGTATTGGGTATATAACGCTTGTGATGAATAACGTATTTGGATAAGGATTAACACTATGTTGATAAAGACACCTCAAATAATGCATTATTTTGGACATTATATTCATGTAAGTCGTATGGTTTTTACTGCGCACGCGAGAATAGCTGGTATATGGCAGATTTTTTCCCGACTTACGTGACAATTATTGTAATGTTTTGGCCAATTTACATAATATCTTTATAAATTATGCCTATGCCTTATACTGATATACTCGTATAAGCTATATTACTGTAAAGTTTCATTAAAATCCATTTAGTAGTTTTTGCGTGAAAGAGTAACAAACATTCATCCATCCATACATCCAAACAAACTTTCGCGTTTATAATGTTAGTGTGATTTTACCGTTCATGGTTTGAGACCGTGTCAAGTATCTTCCACATTTTTATTTAAAGGTGATTTTACACGGTCAGGTCCGATTTGTGTCACAAATCTGGACCCATTCTAACCAAGCTGTGAATCAATAACGTCAAACGTCTCTACGAAAGAAACGCCGCTACTTTCTTTTCTCAGGTTTAGCCAACCGTCCAGCGACACTGAACTAACATAACAACGTTAACTTGATCTTTTAGACGACCTTTGTATAAACAAGTAATTAAAATCAACATAAAGTTGCATTCATTTAATTAATGTTATCGGCTTATCAGAACTAACCGGTATTCTAAATTCCGTTATTTTAAATTATTTAAGTTATTATAGATTTGTAGTAAGTGTAATAGTATATTCTGCATATCGTCAATTCGAGAACAAAAATACAATGGTTTTTTGTTAAGTAACGAGTTAAATGAATTGTACTTTGAAATATCGTATTTATATCATTTAAAAAATTATTGACAAATTGATATTTAGGCAAGCAAAAGTGCACACTATACTAAATAATATTACAAAGAAGATGCTTAGAAGGTGTTGAATACCTGCCAGTGTTTGAATGCGCTATTTCATTATAGCGACGGCTGCATAGTGTTTGTATACACTTTGTCTACGACATTAGATATCGGTATCAGTAGCTAGTTCATATCTATCCTCATTGGAATGCTTTGACATGTCCTGGGCTATGTTTTTATCTATACAATAGACCAAGTAAAAGTCAAGTGACCAGGAATAAAAATATTCCGATATAAAATGTCCTGAGAATGTATTCAGCGAGTAGAAACAGTTCCTAAATCCAAAAATCCATGAATGTGAGCCGCACAGTGATAATACGAAAGGGATGATACGGTAGAAAATAAGATGAACCATGCAGAGTTAATGTGAATGAGAGTAACATACTTGAGGACATCCGTAATTACATGTCTGTAGGTGCAAAGTTTGACAAAGTGAACTGAAACTATTTAGCGTTTAATACGGGCGCTATAATTTAGAGTGGAAAACAAAACCTTTATACAAAGTTACATAGCAAGGGAAGTAACAGAGATTTATCTAAACATTAATATAGAATCTAGTATACAGAGATTCTATCGTTTATTTACGAGCTGGTTATCAATAAGTGTGTATGACATCAAACATAAGAAACTGAAAAGAATAAACAACAATAGTCACTTAACGAAAATACTAAGGAAAGAGAACAAAATATTGATATAAATATAAATTTGTATATAGTAGTAATAATAATAATAAAGCTTTATTGGAAACTAGAACAAAGGAAACAGTAACATTTAATGCGAAAGTGTCTGCATTAGTTAAAAGAACTGTGTCGCAGACATAAACGACACCTCCGGCCTGGGGCCGTCAGAGTTCCATTAATAACTGTATAAAATAAATTAACAAAATAAAACTAAACCAAATCAGATCATAAATTGTTAGTAAGTCTGTGTGTGTATAATATATATGTGTGTGTGTATATATATATATGTGCGTGTGTGTGTGTGTGTGTGCCAAAAGTTCAAATTCTTCATAGTTCAGGGTGTGCAGCCATTGATTTGTAACTAACTTAAATAAACAATAAGGATCTAATTCAATGAGTAAATATTTACGAATGATTATAATTAATGAAAGATAAACGTTGCATGTGATAACCATTACAGAGATACACATAGGTTAACGCTTTGTGACGTCGGGAAAAAGTTGTAATAATATCTGTAAATGTTCATGCATATTATGTATTTACTCTTTAGTCGGTATGGTCCATAAACAACTAAATATATTGTAGTATATAATTAGTATACCAGTATTTCTACCTATACTTGTATATTTATACTTTGGATTAGACGATCGTAACAGAGGTATCTTAATTTTTCAATTTTAATTTTCTATGGTTATGTGACGTATTCTCGTGACTTCTAACTTGTTAATATATTTTATTTTATAACAGTGAATTGCGGTAATTAACCTAATTTAATATATTTTCAGCTTAAAACTTATTTTCATCGGATTTGCACAATGCCAAACAATGAATGTAACATTAACTGGCACAGGAATGTGTCTTGGAGGAAATTTCAAAAACGTCATAGAATTGAAGAAACATGTACAGCATTGTGTCGTCATTGTGGGGTATCTGGAGCTTGCATTTAGAGCAAGGAATAATTTTACCGGCGTACAGTTTGATAACCTACGAGAGGTGAGAAACAAATAATCTGCAACACATTTTAAAATAAGAGTGTTTAACAATTTTTTTTAAATATATGTATTAGTAGCATTAAATGGTATAGGCTTATAAATTACATTGTTAAGAGGTTGTTTATTCCCAACTAGTTAGTATTTAAGAGAACTTAAAAAGCTAAAGGAAACCTATTTTGCTAAATTGCTTCAAATAGGTACTATAGTTTCGTTCAACAGTGGACTTAGACCAAAAATTATGGTTAAATTGAAAATGATATATCATTATCACTTTAATGGTATTAAATTTGATATACATTGATTAAAACCGTTTGTTTTAAACATAGATTCTTAAGCTAGTTTAAAATATTAAAATTTTAGATGCAACACGTTTCTCTGAAGATGATACGGCATGTGTGGTTCAAATCCATCATTTTTGTATGATCATTTGGTCCGACCCGGGAATCGAACCCGAGACTCCAGCACAGCAGTCGTTTATGCTACCGCTGCATCAACGAGGCAGTCAAATAGTAGTATTATGCTAGTGATGCAAAAAAAAACGCAAATTGTTGAGACACTTAACACACACAGTTGCGATTGTATTCCAGTACTCGTAATTCGTTAGTTTTTGATACTAATTGTAACAACACTAGGCTAGAACAAACTCTAAATACACGTGTCTAAATGACTTTACAGATAACCGATTATCTAGTTGTCTACAATGCAATCGGTTTGGAATCGGTCGGACAGCTCTTTCCGGCATTAACAAGAATTAGAGGGAACAAGCTGTTGTTCAACAATTACGCATTGGTTGTGCACGATAACCCGAATCTAAGAGAGGTAAGTGTGACGTTATATCTATTGTGAAATGGTTAAAATAAATATAGGAAAGAAAAGGATTTGAAATTTAAACATACGTATGTTGCTTCACCAACTTTTATTGTGTTTGTGTTGGGTTATAAGAGATATGTGCACCAGAGAGTAAAAGATGAGATAATAAAACATTTGAACAAAAATTTTTTTGTTACGCAATTATTTTCATGTTTGTAACTTAAAAACTTTCATTTGTAAACCGATTTAGAAAATTCATTTTTTATTTTCAAATTCTTTTTGTAATCGAAAGAGTATACTTCCGAGGTGGTCCATTACCACCAAATCAGGATTTGATGATGGGATCCTAGAGAAATCGAGGGAAACCCTCAAATTTTACAGGCCCGACAACGTGTTTTGGCTTGTTTGTCTAACTACTCGTATATAGGTATTTGCTTTTAGTAGTCGTTATGTCATGTTGCTGTGCTGATGATGGAAGGATCCTTGACCTTTAGGAGTTAAAGGATAACTCTTTCAAAAATCTAATCATGTTGACCTTGTTTTTTTCTTTCAAGATATTTTTTAGGTATTCGTGATGGGTTACAGGAATATGTGCACAACAGAGTAATACATGAGATTACAAAACATTTAAAAAAAATATTTTTTTAGCAATTATTTTCATTTTTGTTACCTCAAAACTCTTTCGTTTGTAAACCGATTATGAACATTATTTATTAATTGGAAGGGTATATTTCCCCTTTAGTTATATTGAAATGTGAAGAAAAATGTATGGAATATAGTATAGAAATGTATGTAATGTGAAAAACAATATATTTTCGAGTTCAAATGTAATATCTTACTACCTTATCTAAATAAAGTAAGGGACTTATCAAACTTTATTTAATATAATCTAACATACTACAGTTTGGTACTATACATTACGGTACGTAGTGTTTTAAATATCGTACTTATCTACTCATTACAGACATATCTTAGACTAAAAATGGTAAAATAAATCCTTTTAAAAAAAAGTTGAACCGACTTCAAACAATACTGACAAAGAGCATAAAAAATAAAAAATATTTACAAATCTAAGTAAAAAACTATAATAAGTACTCTCAATACAACAGATAACATTATAGTAGCAATAGTCCCTTCTAGTCTGTTTGAAGTCACAATCACAGTCCAATTGGATGCCCTGGAGATAAAACATGTCAGTATATTTATTATAGTTCTATAAATTATGACCCATACTATAGCTATGCACTTATTTCTTTTCTTTTTAAAGATGTGTAAAATACAGAAGCCTCTTTGGATTTTTAGCCAACCATTGATTTGATTGATATTAACATATGAATATCAAACTATGTACGATGGACAAACTTATTAAATAAAGTATGTATCTCTATCGTTTAGGTATAGGTTCTTTAAGATTCGATGTGAATCTTTTCGATCTATTTTCAATGAAATCTAAATGAATCGTAAGAATAGAAGCTGGCCCGCGCAGCTCCATCAACTACCTACAACAGTCCACTGCTGGAAGTAGGTCTCGCCTTAGAAAGGAGGTTTTGGCCTGCGCAGCTTAGTCTGCGCTTCTCAAAAGAAATTAATTTCCTCCGTATTTTCACATTTTTCGTTGATCCGCGGCTCCTGTTGGTCGTAGTATGAATTTAATTAAAGCCTAAAGCCTTCCTCGATAAACGTTTCACCCCACACAAAAAATATTTATTCAATTTCAACCAATAGTTGATGACGCACTGACGGACGTGAGATCCTGAGTTCCTGAGATAAGTTGTTCAATACAACAAGCAAACAAACTTTTCAGCTTCATAATGTTAGTATGGGCAATAATTCCGACAAGTTGTTTTAAAACATTTTGCTTCTAAAGAACGATATTAAATTTCATCTCCAGACTTAACAACTTTAATTTTTCAGGTTGCTCTTTTTAACTTGATTAAAATCGACCAAGGTGGAGTTATAATATGGGGTTCTCCTCAGGCATGTTATGTTAATACAATAGATTGGAAGGTCTTAACACCTAAAGGGAGACACCTTATTAGCCCATCTGAAGGACAGGTAGAATGTAATGTACCTTGTTTTTGTACATCATATAAACCGAAAAACCGGTGTTGGAATAACAAGTAAGACAGATTTATATTATATTAGTTTTTGACTGCGCTTTCACTCATTTTATGTGCGTAAATGTTTATGATGGGATTATGATATTCACAATTACGAAATTAGCTCTCTCCTACTTAAATCATAACGTATTCAAATAGTATAGAACTTACTTGTAAAAACATGTAAGGGTCCTTGAGGAAAAGGCAAGGGTTAAAACCATGCAAGTCAAATAGGGACTCTCTTAGTAGATACCGTTGAACATCTCGCATGCAGAGAGCTTATTTTGTTTTTTGATCACTTTATGGACTTTAACGCGGCAGCAAGACTCTTTTAATATTCAAATGAATTTGTTGTCGCTACACGATCTAAGTCAGAATATTGAACCAATATTTTTAAGATTAATCCATATGTATTCTGTTACTGTACACATTTTTTTTTTTGTTCCAGAAAATGCCAGATATTCATTGAAGATGAGCAATGTGATAATCAATGTCTAGGCTGTCGAAAAACTAAAAAAATAGAATGCTTCACCTGCCAGTATTATACATTTAAGTTTGACTGTGTTTTTAAATGCCCTGTTGGAACGTAAGTATAGGAATACTTAGAGGGGTGTACAATTTTAAGTTGCGTCTTCAAAAGTTCAAACATCTTTGCTCTTTATTGAATTTTTTGATGACCAGTAAAGCACTTTTTTTTCTCTTTTTTTTTTCGGACGTCTGACGCACTGAGCTTGTACTATGAAAGCTAGATTGACTGATAGACTAATATGATACTTATATACTTTTTGTAAATACATACATATTATATATAGAAAACACCCAAACTCCGAAACAAATATTTGCAGATCATGTAAACATTTGGTAGGACGCGGGAATCGAACCCGAGACCTCAGCACAGCAGTCGCATAAGCTACCTCTGCACAACCGAGGCAGTCTCTTGTATGCGTATAGCTCTTGCTATTTAGTAATAGCAACGAGCGACTAATTAAACTTAGTAGTTTAATTAGTCGACCATTCAATCGATAGAACCGACGGGCACTGGGTTGGAAAGATTGTGCTGACTTGGAAATGAAAATAAAGTGTTCTAAGAGGTTAAACGGCAACCTGAGCCCCTATTGTATGAAACCGGCAACCCTACAAATTTATACAAAAATGGTCAATTTGTCAATAGCTTTGAACTTACTGAAAAAAGATGACAAATATGTTCGACCTCAATAATGCGACAATTTTTTTAAGCACACTAGTTATAAAACTTGAGATGGTCTGTTTAAAGTAACAATCAAAATTTTACCGGTTTTGTGTAACAATATAATATACAAAAACATACACAATTTAAATTATATTACATATTAGCCAAAAATTATAATTTATTTTAAAAATATCTAAAAACCTTACATCTTAAGTATAATAATATTTTTACAGGTTTGTACAAACGGACAGTCAATACTGCCTTTCAAAGGAAGAATGCCACGAATTCGGTGGATTCGTATGGAACAGTACCTGCATAACCGAATGTCCGGAAGACTACCTATTAAGTAACAAAACAGTAGAATCCACTTGTGAACCCTACAGTGGTCGTGAAATGGTTAGAATTTGCATGTTTACACACTTTTAAAGAATGTAAATATAAATACATAATAAAATATGACACACAATTAACATAGAACAACATTGTAATTCACTTGGCTTTGAATGAAAATTTGAGCATTTAATAAAAATATATTCAACGCGAATAATTATTATAAATGTTTGTATAACAAACAGTATTCTGTAGCACTCAGGTGTAAAATACCTTTCTAACAGTGAAATAATTTTCGAACTCGGATCAGTAGTACCGGAGATTACCCCGAACATACAAACTCACAAACTTTACTTCATTATGATATTAGTAAAGATAAATACAAAACTCAATAGTTAATACAGGACGCTGCCGCGCCCCTCACTGCTCTACACAGTAAGAGGCGCAGGCCCCGCCTTAGACCACCCCCCGGCCGCACCGGAGTGTCACCTGTCTCGGGTCGTTTGCAGCGGCCACATCGCCCCAAGATGTAGCCGCAACGACCATTTGGCAGCGATTGGGGAGCTAGCGACCTCTGTCGCGTCATCTTCGCTGCCTCCTCCGAGCGGGACCAGCCCTCTCCCGATCCCGCTCTGCGGCCTCCTTCTGGAGCATAACGTCCTCGCAGAAGGTGACCGCGGCTGCCCATCCCTCGCCACTGGCCAGCATTGCCGCGATCAATGCTGGCGGTGAAAAGTTTCGTCCAATCTGTCCTCCTATGCAGCGCAGTCTTCCAGTGTGTGCTGGGCGGAGTATCTGTCGGACCCGCAGTGGTGGCATTCTGCCGTGACCTCCCGTTTGATTCGATTAAGATACTCACCGAAGAAACCGTGCCCGGTGAGCATCTGAGTCAATCGTTGATACTTTTTAACGTAATGATAAATAGAACGAGATAATAAATAAAATAGTTAAATATATAAAAATAATAAATTAAAATTTATTGACAGAAATTATGAAATTGCAATTCTTAAAATGTATTTATTATTGTAATTAATTAAATGTGTAATTGTAATTCCTTATTGATAATTTATAGGAATGTTAATAGTATAATAATTATAGTAAATTTATTGTAGATATTATTCATAAATACACAAATTATTTTCATCATGGGATGAAAATAATTTGTGTATTTATCGATGATTGGTATAGTAGAATACGGGCTATTTTATTTATTTCATTTTATTTATATTCCATGTAATTACCTAGTTATAACAGATACTATTTACAGATATTTTATCGAACTTATTTAATTATTTAAGAAATATTTAAAAGTTTATAATGTTTACATTTTCTCAATCTATTTATTCACTAAACAAACAATGACGTTGGGAGTTATTCAAATGCATTTTCATTTTTCATTTCAGAATTGTTCCAGTTTGACAATACAATATTCATGGGACATACAAAATGCAGAAAACTGTGTCTACATAAATGGAGCTTTGATACTTCGTTTGAGATATGTTCTAGACGCAATGGATCAGTTGAAGAAGTATTTAAATAAAATTGAGGAGGTATCTGATTTTATTGTAATAGAATCCTCTGATGTGATAACATCTTTAGATTTTATGTCATCCCTTCGGGTGATAAAAGGCAATAAATTAAAAGATGGTAAATATAGTTTATATATTTATAATAACAATTATCTTCAAACATTGTTTACCCCAGAAGTTACAAAGAATCTGCAAATTAAAAATGGTACTGCAAGTTTCCAACGAAACCCCATTTTATGCATGAGTTTCATTGATGAAATAAAAAGCCGATTTCCAACTCCACCCAATGACTTAGATATTTTTATTGGTACTAATGGCTACCGCGGCGGATGCAAAGAAGTGCGATTTAATTTCACTATAACAGCCAATAGCGATACAACTGTTAAAGTCAGTTTTTCTATAGAGGATTACAATACACATTACACAGCGTTGTATGCACGATTGAAACCAGGCGTTCAATCGAAAGCTGTTCCTGAGAATTATTGTGAAATTGAATGGCGTGATGCTGACATAACAACGATAAGTGGTAAAAGTTTCTGTATTGTGGAGTTAAAAGATTTAGTACCGGCGTCTACCTATGCCTTTTGCGTTGAAATTTTCAATCCCAAAAAGGTCCAATTGAGCAGAAGTAACACAGTTAACTTCACGACTCCTATTGGAACTCCTGAACCACCATTTATTCTACAACTGGTTGCTTCTTCATCAAATCTTGTAGTGTTACGGTGGACTGACCATAAAAATTACATTGCACATATAAAAAGTTACGAGTTGGATGTGGAACTATTAGAGATGAACCCAAGAGAGTCTATGGTAGACTATTGTAAATACAATGATGATTTTTTTGAAGAAGACGACATCCGTCATGCTATAGTAAGGAAGCCACCTGCAGCCTATAAAAGAGACTGCGAATCAAAATGTGGTATACTTTCTTCAGTTCCACCTGGAGTCATGGCAGAAGAATATTTTGAAGTGTGTGATGAACATTTCAGCTGCAACTATAGCGAAGAGAGCGTAATTGTAAACAGTTCCATATCCAAAAACTATGTTCGAACTTTAGCTTTAAAATTGGATGGGCCAAGAAATGACTTCCAGGTTGGAGGATTGGCTCCATTTAGTGATTACAGGTTCAGACTTAGATCATGTGTAGACAGAAAATGTAGCAGATCCGCACGTGGTATTGTAAGAACATTTCGTGCTAAAAATGCCGATGTAATATCAAACATTTCCGGCCATGCAGATGGTTCGGGAACTGTAACCGTTAAATGGAAATCTCCAGAAATAACCAACGGTCCGATTTTAAGTTATTCTGTAGAAATTTTACCTAGGATTAATATAAATAATATTTTGCCGCACGTTGTGTGTGTTAGGGCGAATGAAACAGAGATTGTTGTTAAATCTGTGATAATTTCCAAATATTTAGTGAAAGTGTGTCTTAAGACTTTAGCTTCGAGTAGAAATTGCAGTGACTGGGTAATAATTACTGCAGATCATATACCAATACCTCCTTCACCTCATACATCAAAGATGCAAATATTGTGGACGGGTGTTCTTTGTGGTATTTTGATGTACATAGCAACATTTCTTGCTGTTTGGTTAAAGTCTCATAGAAGAATCCAGAGCGATACTATACCTTTAGTCGATAGTTTGTCTTCATGTCGGGTGGAGAGCGACGCACCAGCCCTTATGCTATCAGATTTTGTAACATTTCATACAATGTCTTTAGAGTAAAAATGTACAATAATTGTGATACTACAAAAATTTTATAGATGTATTTTAATGTATTCCAATAAAATATCATTTTAAATGTTTTCATGTTGAGCAAAGAACAAAAATCCAATTTTATTAAATTTTCGTTTTTTATACATTCACGTTACAATTACTTATACAAACATAAATAAATAATAATAAGACAGAAATAAATAAGGTATTTCATTATATTATATATATATATATATATAGTATATACATATATACATATATTATATATCGTATAATATATACATATATTATATATATCTAAATTAATAATATTAAATATTGACCGTAGGTGTCCATTGTCTCAAGAATAGCACTTTCTTGAAATACGGATGATTTGTGGGTATCTAAAAGAGAAAAAAAGACTTAAAGAATAGCTTAAAGAAATTACTACATCACATGGTCACCATTAAATTTTACGTAATGTAATATTTCAGTGCAATATGTTATTAATCTGCGCCATATAACAGTGAACACATTTTGACATGGTAAAATCACAAAGGAACAAATTTAGAGAAGAATTAAAAACTCAGCTTTCTTGTTAAAAATGTTTTATATTAAATAAAAAGATTTCGAAGACGATACTTATTTAATAAATTTATTAACACTGTTCTATGAGTAAAAAATTGCAGAACGTGATATTTAATTCCGCGAAAACATTATTTATTTATGAGGGTAAAAAAAGTACGTATTTTCCTTAAAGAAAGAGCAAAGCTCTTTAAAAGTGCCACTCGAAATTTGCATTAACCTTATCCATTCTTAAAATAGGATGTTTTAAAACATTTTATAAGATCTTATAGAATTTTCCCTAAAAACAACGAGAAATGGAATACGCATAACCGCGGTTAGCTGTAAAGCGTTATTCTATTTTTTTATTCTATTTTATTTTGCTACTAGGGCGGGTCAATAAGTCCGTGACTTTTTGAATTTCTGACCTCTTTACTGAAAAAGCAACACTACTCCTGTCAACAGGCATCTGTCAGTTGACTCCTGTCAAAATTTGAACTTGCTGCGTCAGTTAATTTGTGTTTGACAGCTATCTTTATCAGACTACTATGGGGACTCTGCACCATCGATTTCAATGGTAAAAAAGTGGTTTACTGAATTTCGTTGTGGCCGTACAAGCACTGAAGATGCCGAACGTCCTGGACGCCCAGTTGAGGTCTCTTCACCCGAAACAATCGTAAAAATTCAAGATATGGTGTTGGCCGACCGAAGATTGAAAGTGCAAGAGATTGTGTGTGTGATCTCGCATGGCTCAGTGGTTTCAATTTGAGAAAGCTTTCCGCAAGATGGGTGCCGCGATTGCTCACAGTCGACCACAAACGCAATCGTGTAACAACTTCACAGGAAGGTTGGGCGTTGTTTAATCGCAATATGGAGGAGTTTTTGCGCCGTTTTGTAACCGTGGACGAAACATGGATCCATCACAACACACCAGAGACCAAACAACAGTCAAAACAGTGGGTTTCTAAGGGTGAATCGGCGCCAAAGAAGGCCAAGGTGGGTTTGTCAGCCAATAAAGTTATGGCGACTGTCTTCTGGGATGCACGCGGGATAATCCACATTGACTACCTTCAAAAGGGAAGAACAATCAATGGGGAATATTACGCCAACTTATTGGACCGATTCAATGACGATTTGAAAAAAAAACGACCTCATTTGGCCAAGAAAAAAGTTCTTTTCCACCAAGACAATGCAAGGGTGCACACATGTGCAGTTGCCATGGCAAAAATCCATGAATTGGGCTATGAATTGCTCCCTCATCCGCCCTATTCTCCAGATTTGGCTCCGAGTGACTACTTCTTGTTCCCAAACCTGAAGAAATGGCTTGGTGGAAAAAGATTTGACTCCAATGATGAAGTCATCTCGCAAACAAAGGCCTATTTTGAGGACCTCGACAAATCATATTGTTTGGAAGGGATAAAAAAATTGGAGAAACGTTGGACAAAGTGTATAGAGCTCAAGGGAGACTACCTTGAAAAATAAAATGATTTATTTATCAAAAAATCTGTGTTTTATTCCAAAAGTCACGGACTTATTGACCCGCCCTCTATTTGTTAAAGAGTATACTGGTATCGTCAGTCTTTACAATTATTTTAATTAATTATCTCAAACCTTAGTATATTCCGTTTCATTTTCGAGGACTTTTTTGTTTATGGTATAAGGGGGTTAATGAGCAGACGGGTCACGGTAAGCAACTACCGCCGCCAGTGAACACCTGCAACTCAAAAGTCACAGGTGCGTTGCTGCCCTTGGAGTCCCTCCCGCTCGAGTCAGCGGGAGGGGGATTTGGGCTCCGGTAACCTCACTCACTAAAGGCAACGAATGAATTGCTTAACACAGATTTTCTGTGAGGCCGTGGTATCACTCCGGTCGAGCCGGCCCATTCGCATCGCTCTCCCACTTCCACTTTATAATTGACACTCGATGCAGAACAACTCTATCGACTCGTATTTTTGTAATTAACAAAAGTTGTGCCACTACCACAATATCTCATTTCAATATTTGCCAAATTCAGAACAATGTTAGTTGCCAATCTTGGGCCTGGTAGGTGGGTGGTAACATTCTTTTTTTTTTTTTAACGCGCTTAAAACTTAAAAGTACTTAATCAAGACTAATTGATAGTTGAGTTGTCACATGTTACATTATTGAATGGTTCATCATCATCATCATCATCAGCCTATCGCAGTCCACTGCTGAACATAATAATAATAATATTTTTTTTTTTTTTCATAATAATAATATTCAACAAATATTATAAATGTAAACATCGATAATTTCATCGTAGAAATAAACATCCGTATACAATTCCAATATTGATCAACCATAGGCGACCCAACCCTTCAGATCACAGTTTTTATGTGCAGGATATACTCGTATGTAGGGATCACCGAATTGAATATAAGATTTTATGATTAAAGCTATACGAGATCCTTATAGTTTCGCTTACAATTTTGAGGCATAAAGCAATCGGGTAGGGTATTTTTATTACAAAAACTTGTTTAAAGGCCTTTGACTACCTTTATTGTACAAACTTAAAGCGAATTGATTGACAAGTTGAATTCAAAATTAACTATAATTATATAAATTGCTATAAATGAGACAAAGGCATATCTGTTGAACGCATCCGACGATCGATTGATAAAAGACACCGAACAACTCAGGCAGTTCAGACTCAATTATGAGCAATCTTTCTTGCCAGTGTAAAACCTACCATAAACTGAAAAAATATTATTTATCTAAACTGGTATTATGGCACCAACTAACATTCACAGTTTACTGGCGATACCAACTTGTCAAACAATTATATAAAGCAACATTGTGATTGTGACATGGTTTTTGTTTGGCATTCAACTGTATTGGCTGTTTTGTCTCTGGCTATAGACTTCTCTCATGAATCAACTTTGGGACTATATGTCTTTTAAATTTATATACGGACCGGTAACATAGATGAAAGCCTTGTTACTCGGTCTAAAAATAGGGTAGGGCTTGAATAGAATAGATGTTTGAGTCTGGTTTTAAAACCGAGTACTTTTGCTCTTCACTAAAACGTTTTAATCTCAAACTACTTCAAGCTCTTGAAAAGAAGCCAAAAGTAATCAATTCGCATCGAAATAAAAAATGAAACTGTTAAAAAGTAAAAACTGAGTTTGTTAGTTTACTTAAGAGTGTCATTTCAATGGACTTTTTTGGTTTTTAGTATTTTGTCTTACGTTTTGCTAAAGAGGACGGAGAATTTTGAATAAATATAAGTATGTGTATAATTCCTCAAATATATTATGATTAAATTTGATGTGGGTTTCAGGACACGGGTTTTACACTTGGTATTTTCGCTAACCATTGACATTGTTTCTCGTGTAGGTAGGAATAAAACTCCTTTTAAGATTGGACCCATATTTCACCCCGCCAAACATACCGCAAAATTTTACATTCGCGCTATCAATTTAGCGCTGAAGTCAATTCATATTTCACGTTGAGCAGTATTGTGTACTCGAGCCTTCATGCAAAGCGTTATTGAGCGGTGGCTATCGCTAGTTAAAAGTAAATGTGCATAAGATAAACATAAACATGAAATGTAAAATAAATTTAATGCGAATGTATTAATGCGTGGAGACCAGAAAGTATAACAGCGAAATATTAAATTAGGAATTGAATATTCTCTATGTGAATTTTTCACGGTAAATTGCAAAATATTGATTTTTTCTGCTTGGTATATGTGAACTACATGCTTGTTCTACCGAAGTAGTTGTTCAGTAGTAAATTAAGTCTAAATGATGTACGATTATCCAGAATAACATGCAACGAACTACACGAACTAGAACTAATTAAGAATGTAATGTCTGCTAGTTGCGTGCATTTGCAGTGGATTGCAATGTTATAATTAAAATCCAGTGCAGATACAAAAATGAATAAGACTTCTCAGATTGCAACAAGCAATAAAGACATCGATACCGTCTAACATAATATGCAGAGTTTCTTTAGTAATTAGGCATAGTATACATACAAATGAAGGTGCATTAGTAAGGAGCAATTGTTTAGGAAATGTAGAATTTAGGAAGGTAGAATTTAGTAGTAATACAATATTAAGGGAAGTTATTACGAAGCATGCCTTTTGGATTATCTAAACATTTTCACATAAAAACTTTTCATCCTATTTTTTATCAATTGATTTTTTCTCTAACACAACTTAAAATACTGAGGTGACAATTTATGCATATCATACATATGCATATCACTGTAAAGCAGTCATAAAGCTTACATTAAAAAAATTAGGGCATTTCAGGGGCCCAAATTTTTTAACAGGTCTCTTTTATTATTCTTAATTTACTGATTAATGAAAACCCACTTTAATGAACACACATACAGAGACACTTTTATGCCATGATAAGAATAATAAATGACTTCATAAACGCTGAATGACATTTATGAATGTTGTATAATAACTGATGTTTAATATTCGTTTACAAACA